TGACACAATTACAGAAGATTGCACCGGTACTAGAAAATTCCTGGAGAACTTTTGAATGTGCCTGATGCTTGGTGCGTGGTCTTCACTCCTCACGTTTCAATCTGCACAAAGGATGTTATTATCAGTTTCATTAATGTCGTAGAGACTCATCCTGACACTGACCTCAGTCACTGCAGCTGTCCCTCAAAAAGCTTGAAGCCGTCACGACTGGCCACAATAACCTCACACTGATGGTTTCAAGCACAAATGTGTCCCCACAACCACAGCAAGACATGTACACACACATGTACATGACCTAACAGAAGTTGATCTGCAATAAAGCTATACCACTATACCACATGCACATGCACATGCACATACAAGGACAGATGCTCTCATACTTTAGAGTACAAGGGGTAAGAGTTAATGAGTCCAATTAGCAAGTAAATTCAATATGTCTGCTGCTGTGTTTACTGTTGTACTGTCCAGTCTGAACTGTAAACTCTCTCTATGAGCACTAACTTGTTAACAGCTTTCTGCTTGTGTGTGAGTGTGTGTGTGAGTGTGTTTGTGTGTCTCTGCGTGTCTGTGTTTGTAAACATCACAGAGATAAAAGAGTCTCCTAACGAGCCATGTCAAACAGCTGTGTCTAGCTGGAAGAACTGTAACTCCTATCAGAACCATGAGCGGACCGTGATCTTTGTGCACAGATTGTGTGGCGTCGGTGTTTCTAGAGCCAAAGATGTGGACAGAGGAGCGAGTTACAGAGAAGAGTCGCTTCTCCTTTTCTCGGGAAATCAGCTTCTGAATTTGTATTGCAGTCAGTGGGAGAGGAGGCGGGTTCTCCCATCAATCTGAGGCTTACTATTCAAATTCTGTAAGTCTCTGTGCTAAGGTAGACACTTTCTACGAAACGGCACGGATACAAAATACAGATTTAACCCAAAAGAGTCTCAAGTCTTGTGACCCGTTTAGTGTTTCAACCATTTCTCTACGATGAAGTACGACGCAGCAGTAGAGCTCCAAAGAGGGCTGGGTTTGGTCGTTTTGAAGACGTCTCCCCATTCATTCTCTATGGGAATGTTTTCACCTTTTATCGCCATTTATGTTGCCATGGTTACTTGAATCGCTAAGAAAAGTCACAGAACACCATTCCTGATTAAGCAGCACGCATTGATATATATATATATATATATATATATATATTGTCTGATACGGAAGATGAATAAAACAAATAAGTAATGCTATTGCATTGCAGGCATAATAAATAAATAATAAATAAATACAATAAGAGATGCCACATTAATCGAATACAAAATTAAAACAAAATATAAAGGAGTCAGATTTGTTTCTGTTTTTTTGATTTATATATTTATTTAGGCAAGAAATTACTTTGTTAAAAAAAACTTTAAAAATATTAAAAAAATATTCTAACTTTGAAAGTGACTAAATATCTGATATTATATTAATTACATACGTCTTAATACATTTTCTGTCTAGTGATACAGTTTAATGTAATATCTGTCGGACACATCAGCATAACACATAAAAAATAGATGTATTTCAAAACTGTACAAAATAAATGAGAAATGAAAACAGTTAGTTTTATTAGTAAATTGGTAAATTAGTCGATTGTCCTTGATATCATCATCATCATCATCATCATCATCATCATCATCATCATCATCATCATCATATCTAACTGTGTTGCTCCACCATTACAGACACCTTCGACGCCACAATCTTTATGGGGACGTCGCTCCAGGTGCTGATATATGGAAACAGCCTGTCAGTGAAGGTGTGTGAGAAGGTGTGTATGTGTGTGTCGGTGTCAGCATCAGAAAACAACAGCTGCCCTCCGTCCCAGTCCAGCTGGACTCTGATCCTCTCGGGCTTCTTCTTCACCGACACGTCAGATCCTGTGTCTGACGGTGAGAGCGATTTGTATTCTCCGCTGCAGAACATCAGTCTCCAAAGTCCAGACCACGGGTTTCCTTTCCTGGGGCTAGACTCTGTCAACACGCCCAATGAGAAGGCGGTGTTGTCTCCCACCTCCAGCTCCCAGCTGTGACACCCAGAGTCGAATCCCTCGGAGCCCACGACGGAGATGAAGTGGTCGATCCTCTCTGGGTTCTCAGGAAGCTGCTGCTTTGTCTTTCCTTGTCTGGTGCTGGTCAGATCTTCAGACAGGATGAGGTCTGGATGAGCTGTATTTGGATCCAGAACCACAGGACTGTAAGAGACCATCTCCTTCATCTTGTTCCAGATGCTGAACCTCAGGTTGCCCAGATGTTTGGCCTCATCTATGAGGGCCTCGGAGAGCAGCTGTGGGTCATCGGGCAGAGGTTGCTGCCGGACTCTGTCCGCCGCGGCCTTGTAGTTGAGCAGGAATGAGGCGTCTTTTGCTCTCAGCTCCTTCTCCGTCGCTCTGATGGTGTCTGACAGAGCAGTTATCTCTCTGCTCAGAGCCCCAATCTTCTCCTTCATCATCTCACTCTTCTGCTCCTCCTCCTCCCTCAGTGCAGCCATCCTGGCCTCCTCTTCCTCGTCTAGAAACCGGTGAAGCTTCTTGAACTCCTCCTTGATCATTTGCACCGTGCTCTCTGCTTGGACTTTAATGTGCTCAGCCGTTTGATCACAGTTGCCTTTAATTTGATGAATGAGCGTCAGTTTCGTTCTCAGAGGTTTTAAGAGATCCTGAAGTTTTCTCTCCTGGTCGTGCACGGCTTCATCAGCAGCTTTGAATCTGTGGCCGCTGTGCGTGTCCGAATCTCTGCAGCCGCCGCACACCAGCTGCTCGTCGTCCACGCAGAAGAAGCCGAGTTTCTCAGAGTGCAGGCGACACAGCAGCTCAGACTCAGACTGCGTAAAGTTAATAAGAGGTAAATCCATCGAGGACCTTCTCTTACAGACTGGACACTCAGGACTGTCTGTGTCTGCCCAGTGTCTGCACAGACAGTCTCTACAGAAGCTGTGGTTACATGAAAGGAGGACTGGATCTTTTAAATTGTCACGGCAGAGAGAACAAGAAACTTCCTGTTCTGATCTGCAAGCCATGTCCGTGTCTGAGTTACTTTCACTTCTCCTCAAGCCTGTATTTCCTGTGCACCACCAGCTGTAAGTGCAGTATATTTACCAGCAGCAGTATTCCCAGTATTCCCAGCTGTAGTGTAGCCGTCCTCCTCCAGTGGAAGTCGGTCTGTAAACAAAGGTGTCTGTCTTTTCACTCGGTGCGTCTCTTCTCTCTGGGGGATAACAACAACAAGCTTGTTTCCACATTGAACTCACGTGTCATGGGGGAGGGGCCAGAGCTCTGGACTAAGTTTCATTTCAGCTCCTGTGGTTCACTTTTAATTACAGACAGATAAAGACACCAAATGCACCAACCTTTGACCAGGGCAACAGTCAGAGCAGGAGTCATATTGTTTTCCGGACATACAGTGTCTCTGAAACACCTCAACAGAACTTCTTCACATTTGGCACAAACATTCACTAGGACCCACGGATCAACTGATCAGATTTTGGTCAAAGGTAAAGGTCATGGTGACCTCACAAAACATGATTTTGGCCGTGTGAATGCATTATCCCGAGAACTCTTCAATCCCTTCAAACTTAGCACAAACGTTCCGAGTGGCGGAGGGATACGACCACGAGGAGTTGACTCTAGTTTTACAGATCTAGTTTTTATAATCAGTTATCTTCATTAGTCCCGTGCAGCCACTGGAACAGCCAACTCATCTCTTACAGGTGTTAATAGTAAGGAGTGTCATAATGCACAATATATACTAAATAAATTAAAGGTTATAAGGTTCATTTATTTATCATTTGACACAGGGTTGTAAAACAAGATGAGACTCCACCATGAGAAAGAGTTTTATTTTTACGACATCGTATTCATTCACTCTTTGACTGTATATAATTTTGTTTTGTTGAGTGGAATAAAGGGAACACTAATGCTAATGTCAATGAGGGGAGGCGGCTAATTTACTCCCCCGACCCCTGTATGGGCTCAAGTTAGGGTCAAAATGATTTTGAGCTTGTAAAGTAATGTTCACAAGTTATTCCAATGTTTGTTGTTGTAAATCAACCTTTGTAAACCTGTGAAATAAATCTGCACAAGAAATTCAAGTTTGTGCATGTTAAAAAAAAAAGTACTTTAACTAAACATCTGCAGGAATGTGATGGAATCAACTAATGTTTTCTTCATAGTTAACATAAGGATATAAGTTTTATTGATTTCAGACTAATTCAACTAGTTCAGGTGACATGATGATGATGACCTGCTGAAACACAATCAGCACTAACAGACTTCCCAGCATGCATTGTTTCCAAGCTAAAGGTCTCCAGAGACAAAAAAACAAAACAAACAAAACAGAAAACAAATACAAAGCAGCATAAAACAACCATAAAGACATGAAACACGAGTAGGAAGAGACATAAATGACAAAGAGAAACTAAAAATGACAAAGAGCTGAAAAACGACCGAACAAAGACACAAAACAGCCACAGAGACACAAATACACCAACAAAACGTGCTGCTGTGAGTGGAGCACTCTGAAATATCATATTAATAGATCAGTATTGCTGATGCAACAGGGTGTACGTTGCATTTTATTGTTGAAGCTTCTTCAGTCTGAAATCTGTTTTAAATATGTTTTTTTGTTTTGTTTTTTACCTTTTCACCTTTATTTTTGCAGGAAGTGATTTACTGACAGTCAAAGAGAAACTGTAATTTCCCAAATGTGGTGTTAATAAGAGAATCATATTTGGGCATATCCCCGCCCCCCCCCCGGTCCAATACCCATCTGCTCCAAGTATCTGCCCTCCTTCCATGTGCAACAACGGGAATTTTCCACTAGTCTTCCCGGAATGAAGCTCTCCTCTCCCCTCCCGACTCCCCTTCATTTTCAGTCATTTACCAGAACTCCGACACTCCCCCCCCCCACAACCACCACCTCTCTGTCTCCGCCCCCCGCGCCGCCGGTCCCACCTTATACCTAAAACCAGCTCGCTTCGCGGATTCTCCTCACTTCACATCGCAGCAGCAGTCGGAGTCGCTCGGGACTCAAACTTCGGACAAACTCGTGTTTATTTTTTCTTAAATTTAGTTGTATTTTTCAGCTGTAAACATGACTCAGGTCAACACGTGCCTCAAACGGGTCTTCACCATCTTCAACGTGTGTTTCGCGGTGAGTTAACAGTTTTAAAACCTTACAAATGGCTGCGTCTGACCTCCATCCCTGTGGGAATAAAAAGTGCGTAGTGGTCTGGTTTTAAAGCACAACTTTAGCGATGTATATTAATTTACACGTTCAAATCGTTTGTAAATCAGCAAGTTTACCCATTAGTAAGTTTGTTAAAGAGAAAAACAACAATAGGGAGGGCTACATAAAGTGAAACCAACCAATTAAAAGTTAGAAATGTGTTTCTTTTGACCCATTTTAAAGTTTATTTCAACGTTATCAGTGTAAATGTATTTGTAGATGTTGAAAATGTTTGTCTCGGGTCCAAATGTTTTAAAAAGTGAATCAGACCCTTTTTTTTTTTAGCTCATTATGTTATTTTAAGCATTTTATGGTAATTCAGTGTGTTTGCAGCAGAGCAAAGGAGAAGTAATCTGCAACTAGTTTGATCATCGATCAATCGTTTCAGAAAATTTTCAAGCAAAATCTGCAGCTCAGTTGTTATTCTGAAATGTGAATAAGGATCACAGCTTTTATTTGTCATATGTGACAGTAAATGAAATATCTTTGTTGACGTTACTTTAGTCTCTGCAACATTTGTTATTCAATCGATTAATCAAGAAAATGATGAGTACATTCATATTGTTAGTTGCAGCCCTAGTTTGCAGCTATTGAAAACCAGATGATTAATAATTAATGTGATTAAGTAGAACAAAATGTCCAGTGTGATGCATTCAGATGTTTTGTTCATACAACCAAGACTCCAAAGATGCTAAATCTACTGTAACATAAGACCAGAAAAAGCATCAAATTCTCACATTTAAAAGCTGGAACTTTCACATTTTATCTTGAAAAGTGAAAAAAATAGTCTCTGTCGACGAAATAGTTGTTGTTTTACAAGCTTTCGATTGTGGGTGTTGCTGCTGTTAAGTTTTTTTTCTCATCTGGTTTCCAGTAAGTCTGAAGGAGAAACAACAATTAAATTTAATAGTAAGCAGCTGTTTTTGCTCCACGGAAAGCTTTTGTTCAGACGTCTTTTCACAATAAAAGCCCCCCTGTGTTCCTTTATAGTAGTGTTTAATCCTTTAGTGTTTGTCTTGATGGATTCAGGTCAGTCTGATTTTTATCTGGACTTTGAGGTTTGTATTCACAAGAGCTGCGCCCTGTCTGAAGTTCATGAGCAGTTTCGGTCCTGACAAATCATTATCTTGTGTTTAAACAAGCTGCTCTGGTTTTACCAGTTAGTTTTAATTTGGCAAGGTGCACGTTAGAATCTTACTGTTAAAAGAAATCTAATGACAATATAAGTTTATATACTGAGCGGGGCTCTCTATGGACAAACTATGTACTGGACACCATGTAAATGACTATGTAACGGACCAGTGTGTTGGATTTAGGTGGATCTAATATTCATAATTATGTTTTCATTAGTGTGAAATCACCTGAATCTAACTTAGAATGAGCCCTTCATATCTACAGTAGCTCAGAGTGGTCAAACCAATCACTGGCTCTAGAGAGGGCCTGTCTGTTTTTTACATTACACGAAGGCCACTGTATTCAGTTGGTTTCGATCTGCAGCGTCACCACTAGATGGCACTAAATCGTACACACTGGTCCCAAATTAATAGTGTACAATTTTATAATTTATTAATGTTTTCAGTTTTTTAACTTTATAGTAAGGTGAATATTTTTAGGTTTTGGACTGTTGGCCTAATAAAACAAGACATTTAATGACATGGTTTTTCACTGGTTTCTGATGTGAAACAATTAATTGAGAAAATAATCAGCAGAGTTATTGATAATGGAAAAGCCTAAGAATATAATTTGTGTGGCCTCGTTTTGCAACCACTCAGATTTATCTCGTCACCTCTTTGAAGAAAATGAACGCAGGTAGTTGTTGTGTTTGCAGGAGGTCGGCGTGGATCTTATCAGACTGTGTGTTTTTTGGTTTCAGATTATCGGTGGAGTCATCATCGGCCTCGGTCTGCTGTGTCAGGTCCTCACCACCTATCAAAATGTAAGAAACAAACACACCTTCAACCTTCGAATTAACAAACAAAACATGTCTCTTCAAAAAAAACCACAAACATATGAACCTGTGGCTCGTCTCTACTTCCACAGGTGCAGAATCGGACCGACGCCCTCATCATCTTCTACGTCGTCGGCACCATCACCATGGTGATCGCCATCCTGGGAGCCTACGGAGCCCATAAGGAGAGCAAAGTGTCCCTGGTCATAGTGAGTACAGAGATCAGCTGACACAGGATGATGATGATGAATCTTCAGAGTAAAAGAGGATGTGAAATTACTTTATTTCCAAATTGTCATTTTACTTCACAGCAGCGAAAAACCCTCGGTTACTGACTCTCCTAAAATGAGACGATGTGATTATGAGCTTTAAACAAAATCAAAATGATGTGTTGAGGGGAAAACCAGACCCGCAGAGAGATACAAAAACAAATAGATATGACGGACAGAAATGAGAGCAGGGAGGTTAGTTTGGTTTCTTTGTCTGGTTTCCTGTTGATGTGTGTTTGGATTGCTTATTTTACCTCAGTGACGTCAGCACGGAGATGAAACTACCAGCTGCTTTAGTTGTTTTAATGCGCAGCAGAAACATTATCTCCTGCTGGAGCCTGGCTCAAGAACAAAGCTGCTTATTAACTGGATCAGTAAGATATTTGGGAATAACGTCCAAATATTGACACTAAGGCTCAGACTATAGATAAGTGCAGGATTTATTATATAGACATTTTAAGCATTGCAAATATTCCATAATGACATTTTGCTGCTTTTTGTCTCATATCATCAGCGACAAGTTGATTAAACCTCAGAAATAAACACTTTGATTCGCGGCAGGATCCGACTGATCTAACGCTCTGATGCAATTTGTGGTGTGTAAACTGTCGGCCAGCATTCATGCAGCAGTCATCAACTCCTGTGCTTGTTTCTGCAGTTCCTGGTGTGTATGGTGGTCGGCAGTCTGCTGATGCTGAGAGTTGGAGTCCCCTTTGCTGTCGTTCGTCCTCAGGTAACAACCTCTGACGCTCTGCTGTTGGTTCTACTGTTGGTTCTGCTGTTGGTTCTACTGTTGGTTCTGCTGCATACGAGGCTGACCTCCATGAGATCAAACTGAAAACAGCATCATTTCTTTGGAGAACTTCACCCAATGATACTCCAAATATGATTATAGGAAAGTGTAATGCTGTAAAATTATTGTTTCACTATTTATCTGATACTACGGAAGAGGATTAGGGCCACATGTGACTTTGTTTTTACTTACTAACTTTTCACTTTAATCTCAGAATTCAGAGTTTAAAGAGTCAAATCCAGAAACAAAAACTTACCCGGGTGTGTTGAACTTGCTCCGTAGTACAAGGACATAATGGAGGCCAAGTTCCGGACCTTTCTGCCTCTGGATAAGGCTTCAGGTGACGCACAGACTATGGTCAACAGCTTGCAGAGCACGGTAAGAGACACACACACACACACACACACACACACACACACACACACACACACTTCAAAGAGTTTTATGAGGTTTCAACACATAAAACAGACAGAGTGCTGTTGTTCTGTAACTGCCGTACGAGATTTCCAGTTGAAGCAGGTGAAACTAACTAAACACCAACAGCGGTGAAAACTCACAACTTCTTATTTCACAACAGCGTGAAACAATAAATTGATCATGACAGAGAAGGAACGGTCATCTCTATAATAATCGATTCATCACTTCCGTCATTTTTTTCAAGCAAAAAAACCCAAAAACATTTTTGTGTTTTTCAGCTTCTGGGGAAAAAAAAAAATTCAATTTAAAATTTTTTTTTCTTTTATTGTTACAAGAAATCCAACAACTCGTGAGTGATGTTTTAATTTCTGGAGCGAGTCACGTTACCATGACGACAGCTCTGTTCTGTTCTTTTCAGCTCCGCGTTAAACTCCATTCGATTTGTTTACAAAACAAAACTTTCCAGGTCAGAACTGGTGTTGTTTGTCTTTGGGCTCTGCCTTCGCCTGCAGCTCTCTGCAGACGGGACAGGACGGTTTACAAACAAAACCTGTGTTCCCGGAATTCCCCCAGAGGGTGAAGAGGTGCGGCCCGGGGCCTCTGATTGGCTGCCTGAGCGACAGGTAGCTGAGTTGTTGGGCAGAAATGTAAATCAAGTGGAGGTGGATTATTTTACCACTGCAGGGAGGACTTCCTGTCTCCGTTTGGTCTACAGGTCAAATATTTACCACTTCCTGCTTTTAAAGAGGAAGGTGACTCGACCTCTTACTCACATCCGTATTTACTTTCTAATGAAGAAACTTTAAAAACCACAGGCGTTTTACTTCCTGTTTGCTAGAATGTTCAAGAACAAAGTTTTTAAGTTTCACAATTTGGTAGTTTGTGAAAAAAAAAAAGTTTGGGAAAGTGTGTGTGTGTGTGTGTGTGTGTGTGTGTCATACTCTGAATCTCTTAACCACCATGTTTAATATTGGAGTTTACCATCAAAAACTCCAACTTGTTAAAGTGTTTTTCTTTCCTCATATTCCAAAAGAAGCTGCTGCCTTTTTGGTGATAACTGGGAATTCTGGGATATTGAGTTGCGGTGAGGATGTAGCTCGTATACAGACTTGTTAAGTGGCTAAATTTAAAGGAATAAATCTGCTATGAAAGTAGTGTATGTAAAGTGAAAAACAAACAGGTCAAACCACAGATCAGTGGGTTTTACAGATGGAAACTTTCCACCAACTGCTCTAGATTCAGGTGGGAGAGGAAAGCAGCTTCTTTAACTTCCTGCCTCAATCATCAGTCGAGGTCGATCCACCAACCAGTCAAAGCGGGAAACTGTGATTTCCTGTTGGCAAATTTTAAGCTTCTCACACGTGAAAACGTTTTTTTTCTAGTTTGAAAACTCATCTTAAGTAGCGTCCACACTGCTCGCTTTCAGAAACTCTGCTGCAGCGGTTTTAGTCTGAGAGGACGGAGATCGTTTCTGATCCGGGGCTAAAGCCGTCGTCTTAGTTTTGGTCGTTTTTAGTTTTAAAACACCGTTCTAAAATGAAAACATATCAGTGTGGACGAAGCCTTTGTCATAAACTCGATCTCTTATATCTTATTTCTTTAATTATTTCACTCTTTTATAAACAAAAAACAATGAATTGATTTAATCCTGAAGAGAAACCGAATAAATCGTCACATTTCAGAAGCTGGATCAACGTTTTTGGCGTTTTTGCTTGAAAAGCGTCTGAAACGATGAAACGATTATCGAAGCCATTTAACCATCGATCGATCGATCGGCTACACGACTGTGACATGACTGCAAATAATTTCAGCTTTCAGACACGTCCCTGCTGCGATCTCTTCCCGATCGATAACCCTCCTGCTTCTTCTTCTTCTCTGGTGTTTAGATGCACTGCTGCGGTCTGTTCAGCTACACCGACTGGGAGGACGAAATCCCCACCTCCTGTCTGTGTGACCCGTCCGAGGAGGAGGAGATGGGAGCGTGTCGCAACGTCGACTACAGAGTGAGTATCGACGCGCCGACAGTCGTCTTCATCTTCCTCACCTGTGTCTCAAACGGCAGGTGACTGATGTTTTCATGTTTCTGTCTCCTGCAGAACCTCTTGCAGCAGCAGCAGATGTCCGTCTACGCCAAGGTGAGTGACTCAGCGTCGGGTTCAAATATGAGCGAGTGTTGGTTAAAGATTCATCAGCTGCTTGTAAAATAACTAGAAAGTGACGATGTCTCTCTCCTCCCGTCCTCAGCCCTGCATTCCCATCATCCTTCACTACGTCCTGCTGCTCCTCGACGTCGTGCTGGGCGTCATCTTCTCTCTGCTCACGCTGGCGGTGAGTGTTTCTGTCGTCTCGCTGCTTCCAGATCAGTTTCCATCAGTCAGATTCATTTCATCCATTTTTAACCCCCGAAAAATAATTAAAAAAGCAGGTGATGTTAAAATCACCTCACCTCCTCTTCTACAGATCTAATGGGGCTGATTGACAAATCATTTAAAAAAATATCCATAATATTGATTCTCTTCCTGTTTCACCTCTTCTGTTTAACTCCAACACCAGCGTTGAATCATTTTATTTTTATGCAATTATATTGATTCTAATTTATTTTGTATTTTACACCTTGTACTTGCATTTGATCTTTTACTGTGTCGTAAGGCGCCTGTAAATGTGTTCTTAAAAGATTAAACCAAATCTCTTTGGGTTTTAGACAAAACTACGGTGGCCCTGAAGCTCAACACACTGCAACTTAAGAAAACACAAACACATTGTTTTCTGAATGTGTTTTCTGAAGCTGCATTGCTTTGAGCTCTCAGGGCCACCGTACAAAACAAGAGCGCTTGTCTGCAGTTTCACTTGTTACTTCCTCAGACGTCACAAAGCTTCTGCTGAGCAGGTCAAACCAGCAGTTCATTGATTTGTCCGTGTGAAAAATTGACTGATATTGAACCGGACTCTTGTGTTTTCCTTCCAGGTGCTGGGCATGATCCTGTCCTCCATCATCCTCCACCAGATGCGTTACCCCAACAGACCCACTGTCCTGATGACGGTGCCCACCATCTTCACCACGCCGCCACCCAAGTACCAGGAGCTGCACAACCCCCCGAGCTACTGAGGGAGCGACACCAGCTTCCTGTTTACAGTATCAGGAGGAGGCCAGTTTCTTTTTTATTTCAAAGTGCCTCTGGTCTCTGAGGAGATGCGACTGCAAACGAGATTGTTAATTTTCTAATTAAAGAATAAAATAGCTGCAACAAGATTTCTTCTTCTTTCAGAATCTGCCGTTTAATTAAGTTTGTAAATGTTTTTCTAATCATCACCAGATTAATATTCCATGTTGGTTTTTAATGAAACAACGTTTGTCTCCAGGTCACAAAATCTTATTTATTTTGTTGAAGAGAAATTTGTTTTTGGTTACTGAGAAAATATGAAAATGAAAGTTTTGGGCGGCAAAAATATTCACAAAAAATAAAAACCATTTTATTGTTAAAACAAAATGAGACATTAATCCCTAAAATGTGCCTTTTTTTTCTCTGAAGTTCGGCTCTAATCTTTTTCCGTAGAGACGCGCAAATACGACGTTTTTTTAAAATCTCTATCCTCTGTCGTCATGTCGCTTCAAACAAACTAAAACCACTAATTCTCATTTTGTTAAAGCAAATGTAAAAAATAACCACAAAACTGGAAGTAGAAGCACAAGAGCCTCAAACAGAAGCACTGAGCTCGACCACAGTCGCTTCAAAAGATTTAGTTTTATATAAAAAAGTATTTTTAACAGTGAAAAGCTTAAATTATATTTTTCTTGTTCCTGACCCTGAAGGGATTTAAATCCACTGTTTGCAGAAGACGTCATTCTTATGTCAGTTACTGTATTTTTTTTAAAAAAGTTTTTATATTCTTTTATTATTGTAAGTGAATGTGACTCTGGGTCTTTTCTCTCTGTTTTGTCTGATAATCCACGTTTCCCTTGTAACCAGCATCATGTCAGAAACATTCGCTTAAGTGTCGACGAAGCTTTAGACGTGAAATTAAAAACGCAGCAACAGATGAAACAAAAACTGGCAGAAAGAGAAAGTGGAGAAAAGGGGAATGTTTTTTTTATTTCACGTTTGATTCTTCTGCTTGTGAAATGTTTGAAGAAATAAAAACTACACCAGAAACTGTGTGTGTGTGCGTCTGTGTGAAAATGTGTCGACTGACGTGACGACCACAACACACAAATGTGTTTTCAAATCGACATTCACAAAATTTAATTTAATATTTATTTGACTCAGACTTTTAGACGATACTTTTTATTAAAAATACTCGGTTGCTTGTAATTACGTTAATAATTCCGTTTACACTTTCACTTTTCATAAATCTGAAAGACGTAACAGTTTTCATACGTTGTTGCAGGCTCACTATTTGGCAAGATCAAGTTAATGCTCACTAATTAATCTTACTAATGAGTTACTACCATTCATAAATGGTAAAAGAAGCTTGATTGTAAAACATTTATTAATGAGTTACCAGTTATAAATAATAGTTGCCTAAGCGAACAAATACTGGATGATTGAGAAAACAAAGAGATATTAGGCTCAACAGTACAGATCAATGTGGGCTCACTATTTGCCAAGCAGCCGAACATGTTGCCCTTTTTATCTGATATGTTATAACAGCTTATAAATGATTTTTAAAGTGTTAACAAGCTAATTAATAAACTAGTTATAGACCATTCATAAATCCTTTATAAGGGGAGTCTTATTGTGGGACTCATTTATCTTTAAAATCTTTAAGTTGTATTGTTTGAAACAGACTCAGACTGGATTTTAGAGATTGATTCTGGTAAATAAATGTATAAATAAAGTTTGATGTGGCTCCACTTTGATCCACTGAAATATCTGAACATCTGTGTGATGGAGAGTCGTGACAGACTCCTCTGATCTAATGGATTTTTAACTAATAACAGGTGATAAATCTTCATCGTCATTCAGCGGACTGAAGGTATTAAAGTATTTCTGACATTTCTGATGAAGATATAAATTAAACTTGTGACCCAGATACAAACTGAGGCCTTTTACAGTGTAAAAGTGAAGTCAGCGCCGCCCTCTGGTGGACAAACCACATACCAGCAGCACGGCTCCTACACACGACTCGTTACTCATCAGCTGACATTTACACTAATGTGATGCAACAATATCAGCCATGGCCATTCAAAAGAAAAGTACGTTTACATTTAGTGTTTCTACAGTAACCGTGTGGAGAAGCTACAACTGTAAAAGAATAAATAGTATTTATTCATCTTCAAGGATAAAATTTAATTTGACTTTATTTGTCGAGAGTCAGTGAGTCCAACATTTCCTGTACGTCAGTATTTCTTTAAACCTTTGGCCCCATTTCAAACATTAAATAATAATTAAACACCAGATGAACCTGAATCAACGTTTTTTTTACCTGATGAATGATTCTGATGTTGTTCTGTATTTTTTACAATTGTCAACAAATCCCATAAAAAAAAACAACAACACGTCAGTCCGACCGTCAACTCTTTCCTGACTCCTTCGCTGTGTCGCGGCTCTGAGCCCGTTGGTTCCTACTGAAGACGGAAATCTTGGGGACTATTTTCAGCAGCGGATTAATCCACATTTGGGGCTGTAGTGAGTGTTTGTATCAGCCAGTGTAACACCGACTCACTGACATTCATTGTTATTGTTTTTGTTTTGTTTTAATGGGATTTGTTGACAAGAAGAAAAATATATTTCTCCTTTAAAATGTTGAACTTTAATTTCTTTTTCCCCGTTTGAAGAGAAGAACAGTGACAATGTAAGAAGTGAAATAACGACAATGTGTGCGACACCTCCATGCGTTGTGTAAATCGTTATAATTGTTCTATTATCTTTACAAAACACTTTTGACACTAGCAGTTTAAAAAATTACATTTCCAAAAGGTGTGCTGATTTTTTTTTTCCTTTGTTTTTTCCATTCTTCCATAATGAACAGGACAGTACATCATTTACTTTTCTTCTTCTATGTGCGTTGATTTTTCCCAAAGGCAGATAAAACGTCCAGAATGTTTTTTTTGTTTTTTTGTTTGTTTTTTGTTTTTTTGTACAATGTCACAGAGCTTTTGTTTTTTTTCAGTAAGCAGAGATTAATGGAGCTAAAGGCCGGGTGGGAAAACAACAGCAAAGTCCACAGTAGAGAGAGCGAGTACAGAGATAAAGGTTTGTTCATGTACAGGTTTCCATCATGAGTATAACTTATTAAATAATCGCTGCTCAGTTTTTTTTTATTTATTCACCAAGTCATTTAAAAGTCAAAACAAACAAACAAACAAACAAACGAAGCCTTTTACAGAAATCAAACATGCACGGTTTTATTCCTCTGTCCGGGAGACTGGCGTGTTGTGTTGCTGTGTTGTGTTGTTGTTGTTGTTGTTGTTGTTGTTGTTGTTGTTGTTGTTGTCATGACGTGTGTGTTGTTGTTTATGAAACCATTAATCCGACATTTAGAGGAAAAAGGAGAAAAACTTTGAGCTGCACAATGTCAATAAAACCAGAATTTTACTTTGAGCTGAAACAATTAGTCAGTTAATCAATTACAAAAAATTTAAAATAAATATAATTGACAAAATGTTTTTGTTTATTTTTCAGTGTCAAAGAAATTCCTGATTTTCTGTTTTAAACAATTTTAAATGTAATATTTTGGGGGATAATAACTCATTTTTTCACTATTTTCTAATATTTTATGAACCAAATAATTAATTATTGAAAATAAATTGATGAAGAGATTTCTGCTTAACACAAACAGATCAATGATCAATATCAATATATTGTTTTCGGACCTGTAGATAACTGAGATGTTTGTATTCGCTGCTCATGTTTTATTTTTTGTCTACAACTTTTATTTTATTTTAACAATATTTTTAATTCCGAAACCAAAATATTGGGATATTTTTTACTATTTTATCAATTAAACCACAAACTAAATTAATCTTATATTTAATTACCTTGATTTTGCTGAATATTTCAAACTGATTAATTCTTTTTTTTTTTTTTTTTTTTATTTATAACTGTGAAATTTTTTATTTTTTGTCATTTTAGAGTTTAAAGTTTTTCTTTCTGGTTGTTGCAGAAATTTTGTTTATTTATTAAATAATCACTTTTTTTTTTTTACATTTGGCTTCAACAATGAGAAGTATGATTTTATTCATAGTTTGTTTGTGGAACAAGTGACTGCAGCTTTTATCTGATGATTTTTGTGCAGCTCTACCTGGAGTCTGTTTGTAGCTGCTGTTGGTTCCTCACAGGTCCAAACGTCTGCACCTCCATGTTTGATTGTAGGGGATGTTTAAGGGTTTATGGGATGTGTATTGATCAGACACCGGTGTCAATCATGAAATTCAGGGGGCAGATTTTGGCACTAAATGCAACATGAGGAACATGAGCTGGAGGAGTTCACTGCAGCAACAGTAAATATGTCAGTAATGAATAAAGAAGCAGGAGAGTTCAGTCATCAGGACCTGTGAAGACCTCCGCGGCCGGGATTTAACGTTCATCGTCTCCCTGCAGTTCCACTTTCGTCCAGCAGGCGATGCTGTTACACCACAAACTGATCAACATGAAGATTAATGGCGGTTTGTACAGTGTGTCTTTGTGTGTGCGGATTGCATGTTTAACCATTAAAGAGCCCCTCCCACCCCCAAAAAACAAAAACTAAACGAATCTCTGCTGAAGCTTGAGCCGCTTTTTTGTGTCTTCAAACTTATTTTTAACTGTTTTATTAATAATTTTTAGTATGAAACACACAGAGGCAGCTGGAGGAGGGAGGGGAAGAGGCCTTCAATGTTTCTGTGATATTAGTCGCTGCTTTGTTTCAGATTACTGTCGAGTTATCGTCTGTTTTTATAAGAAATGACAGTGAATAAAGTGCTAAAAATGTGATTTTTTTTTTGAATTTTGTAACTAAAAGCACTGATTTCAATCATGAGGACTTCAGTTACTTTTACTTTGAAAGGGTACACTGAACAAAGTCATTTAAATATGATTTCCCATGCTCCTTAGCGGCAGAGGCGTTGCTGAATGAACACAGCAGATTATTTCAGAGCGGACTCACCGGACGACAGAGACACTGATAAATGTGTGTGTGAGTATAATGTCTGCAAGCATGTATGTGACAGAGTGTGTGTGTGTGTGTGTGTGTGTGTGTGTGTGTGTGTGTGTGTGTGTAAAAGTGTGTGTGTGTGTGTGTGTGTGTGTTAGCCAGAAGAGCAGCACCCTCCGGCAGGTGTGGCCTGTGGTTCGTCGTCAACGATCTGTACGCCCCGCCTACTCGAAGCTGATTGGCTGGCTCCGTTGCCCTTCAACCTCTCCTCGGCCTGAGCCGTTTCCATCATCCCTGAAACACACACACACACACAGTTGATCAGATCAGATGAATTCCTTTCTTCCACCTGTAACATGTTCATTAGTTGGATGATGTTACCCTGTTTCCAGTCTTTATGCTAAGCTAAGCTAACCAGCTGCTGGATTTGGTTTAATATCGACAGAACACACATAAGAACGTTATCGATCATCTCCTCTAAGTCTCTGAACATAAAAGAATAAACAAATTTCCCAAAATATTGAACTTTTGCTTTTAGCTGCAGCTAAAATAAGATTTTTTTTCTTTCTTAAAGCTCCACATTTTAAACTTTCCTGTGTTTTATTTTGAAGAGTTGATCCATAAGAAGATATATTTGTGGTTTTAAGAACCAAAAACCATCTCAGTGTAGTTTTACATCTCCTCTCTCAGGCTTCTCTCTGCAGCTCTAGTAACAACAGGTCGGTGAGCCAATCAGAAGAGAGGAGGCTCTGATCCTCTCTTCTGATTGGCTGACTGTTTTCTGAGTGATCCAATAAAAATAAAGCAGATTTCAGGTAAAAACACTCAGAGAAACCAAATCCTGTAAAGGTTTGGATGGTGGGTCCAGGTGGGCGGGGCTTGGTGACTGCTTTGTTGTGACATCACAAAGTTCCAGAAGTCCTGACGGCTGGTTTTAAGGCTCAGTTTCTGAATACAGGCTGTGTGCATTTCTCTGTGGACTGAGGCTTTGATACTTTCACAGTATTAATATAGAAGCTAGACCTGATCTATAATCACACTACACATGGACACAGACCTTTACACTGGAGGAGCTTTAACCTGTAACATGAACCAGTGAGATGAAAACTCTGATGTTCACTGAGGGCCAATATTCAATAATATCAAATATTGAATATTTCCCTCGATTGTATCGAGATATTACATTTTGAAATTTTCAAATGTTTCTGTAGATATTCTTCATCATGCTCTAAAATAAACTGATTCTCCCGAGTGTCGCTCCTCTTTTATCAGTGACTTCTTACTTTTACAGAGATCCAGGAAGAGCTCCTCGATGCCTTTATTTAACTTGGCTGATGTGTGGTAGTGTTTGGCTCCCACCGACTCCGCGTAACTGAGGAGAAACAACCACCACCATCATCATCATCATCATCATCATCATCATCATCATCATCATCATCATCATCATCATCATGTGTCTGAACAACACAGAAAACTAAAGTGTTAATAATGAGTGTTTTTACCTCTCAGCCTCTTCCACTGAAACATGTCTGTCTTTGTCCAAATCAATCTTATTACCTGCAGAGAGAAGAAAACACATTGATCCTCCACGTTTCACTCTCATCATTTTCTTTTAACATTATGGAGGAGGGTCAGGGACGTGATTAAAAATGAATAAATAGATAAATTCTGACTTTAAACTCAGAATATAACAGTTGTTGGGGAAAGAGCCAGAGTTTTTTATACAAACAGAACATTTTAACAAACTTTTAAAAAACACTGACGTTGCAGATTTTTTGATCCCATCCAGCTCAATTAAATCAGGCTTTATAAGGACTCGTATAATTTGGTTTAATTAATGAATTTGTAGCTTTATAATCAATCGTTTCTCTGTCATTTTAAATTTGAAGATGCCATGAAATCAAAACCAATCAAACTCATAATCTGGCTAATAAACTCTTTCATCATCTCCATGTACAGGAGCAAAGTCTCCATTAACAGACAAAACGACACAACGTCAGTGTAAATGTATTTATAAGGCACAGTTCATATACGGAGGCAGTTTTACAACTTACTTAAAATAATATAACTGTTTTCTCAGCTGGTGAATCAAACCCCAGAAAACCGAGACACCAGATTCAACTTGGTGCAAACACCCGCAGTGATGATTGGCCTGTTCGACGCTGCAGCAGATTCTTTATATTTAACAGGTTCATCAATCATCGTCGGCTCGGAGCCTCTGAAGTTCGGCCTCATGTGACTCCGTCCTTCGTTAAAAAACTAAAATTACATTTCCTACCAGCAGCTTCCACATCTGTCGCGGAGCCGCCGTCCGAAACACATGATGAACGAACATCAGCAGCATAATCTGATTTAAACCAGAAACTCCCCTCACGATGCCACACGCAGACAAATGACTTGATATGAAGCCGCCATGACAACAACACAACAACACAAACATGACAACAAGCCCCGGTCATCCCGCCACTGCCACTTGTTCCAAACAGACGATGAGGACTTCCTGTCACTCGCAGATTCTTTTCTAGTGTTGTGATATTAATGTTTTAATGTGATAATTATCTCGTTATGTTTTTCTAATATATGCAGAGAACCAGGTGTGAACAGCTTTTATTGTGAAGCTCAAACATGTTAAAACATCTCGTCTCCACGCCTTCAAAATAAAATTAAATCTGCAGCTATTTTCATCATCAATTAATCGTTTAAGTTCTTTTATAAGTAAAAAAAAAAAAAAACCCAAGCAAACAATTGATGTTTGTGGTTCTAAAATCTTTTTCTTAGCATTACAGTTTTCAGTTAATTGAATATTTGGGGGTTTTGGACGTTTGTTTGACCAAAACAAGATGTTTAATGACCTCAACTCGAGGTTCAGAACATCGTGAAGGATATTTTTCACATGTTTCTGATGTTTTTCTTGTTTTATCAGACAAAAGAATGAATCACTTGCTCAGGTTAATCAATAATGAAAATATCTGTTAGCTTCAGGTAAAGCCTGGACTTTAACTTTTTATTCTTAATTGTTTTGTTTCATTTTAGCTCATTTTTATTTTCTATTTCTCTTTGAATCTTCTTTCTGCTTGTATTTTTACATCGTCTCGAGTTTCTTTTATATTTATGTATTTTCTTTCATTTATTTGTTTATTTGATGAGGACAATGCATCTGCACTAAATACACAATGTCAACATAATGAATTACAGCACAAATGCTACTTTAGATACATTTAACAAGTAAAACACTCACCTACTATACATAAACAAATCTCGTTGCCCAACATTTTCCTCAACTCCTTCACCCAGTTCTTCACCTGCAGCCGGAGGAGGAGGAGGAGGAGGAGGAGGAGGAAGAGGAGGAGGGAGAGGAAGAGGAGGAGGAGGAGGAGGAGGAGGAGGAGAGAGGAGCGAGGAGGAGGAGGAGGAGGGAAGGAGGAGGACAGGAGAGAGAGAGAGAGGAGCAGGAAGGAGGAGGAGGAGGAGGAGGAGAGAGAGAGGAAGAGGAGGAGGAGGAGGAAGAGGAGGCAGGAGGAGGAGGGAGGAGGAGGAGGAGGAGGAGGAAGGAGAGAGGAGGAGGAAGAGGAGGAGGGAGGAAGAGGAAGGAGGAGGAAGAGGAGGAGGAGGAGGAGGAGGAGAGGAGAGAGGAGCAGGAGGAGGAGGAGGAGAGGAGGAGGAGGAGGAGGAAGAGGAGGAGGAAGAGGAGGAGGAGGAGGAAGGAGCAGGAGGAGGAGGAGGAGGAGGAGGAGAGGAGGAGGAAGAGGAAGGAGGAAGAGGAGAGGAGGAAAGAAGGAAGAGGAAGGAAGAGGAGCAGGAGGAGGAGGAGGAGGAAGAGGAGGCAGGAGGAGGAGGAAGAGGAGCAGGAGGAGGAGAGGAGGAGGAGGATGGAGAGGAGGAGAGGAGGAAGGGAGGAGGAGGAGGAGGAAGGGAGGAGGAGGAGGAGGAGAGGAGGAGGAGAGGAGGAGAGGAGGAGAGAGGAGGAGGAGGAGGAGGAGGAGGGGAGGAAGAGGAGGAGGAAGAGGAGGAGGAAGAGGAGGAGGAGGAGGAGGAGGAGGAGGAGAATTTAATAAAGAAGACAAAACACATCAAAAATTCATACTGAGAAGCTGGGAGCAAAAAAACTATTTAAACCATTTATCAATCATCAGTCGATTAATTTCCTGTTAATTGACTGATTGATTAATCCTCTCATCACTTTAACTTTAAAAATGTTTGACATTGTGTTCGACATAAAGCTGTGACATTTCAAATGTCTTTCTTCCAGAGCCAACGCCTGACATACTGACAACAAAAATACTTTACGTGATATATTTCACATCTTCCTCTCTCCAAAAAACTGTTTTCAACCAAATAAAACTTCTCAAACCTGAACAAGCAAAATGCAAATTCTAGTTTAGATCAGGAAACATTGGATCAAATATTAAACAAAGAATCTGATCTAATTAATTCAGTGTGAAACTATATTTGACTGTTTATTATAAAGTGGAATAAATGAGCGGCCGTCACCTTCTGGAAGGAGTCTTCGTCTGTGATGTCGTACACTAGTACGGCTCCATTGGAGTCTCTGTAGTAGATGGGACCTAACGCATGGAAACGCTCCTGACCTGCTGTGTCCTGCACACAAACACAACACAGTTAGTCTCCGTGTCGCCGACACTATGACGTGAACACAGACTCAGACTGTGGCTGTCTCTCACCCATATGGCCAGGTTCACTCTCTTTCCTGTGATGTTGAGCTTCTTTGTGAGGAAGGACGCCTGCGGAGGAAGAGGAGGATGAGGATGATCATAACGTCAGGATTTAACAGTGAAGCTCGGATCATGTAAATCACAAAACATCAGAGGCTGTTTCGCCAAATCACCTTTAACACACAAGCTGCACGAGGTCACTTCCTCTCACTTACTGAGACAGTTTAGACCAATCGCAGCCGACACATGAGCTTTTATTACTCTGCAGGTTGGAAACACGGATCCAAAGTGCAAATATAAAGTGCAAAAAACATAAAAACGCCTTGGTGATTTTGGTGGTCAAAGGTCAAAGGTCACTGTGACCTCACAAAACATTTTTTTGGCACCAACTTGTAAATCCACACACACTAATTATGACACAATTTATCTCAAATGTCTATAAGGATAAAAATGAAGTGATGATATTTTATATGCAAAGAGGTCAAAGGTCAACTTCACTAGTTTGTTTTCCAAACAATTAACTGAAAAAATAACGAATTAATCAACAATGAAAATAATCATCAGCTGCAGTTCTCGTCCAAAAACAGAAATCGTCACATTTAAGGAACTGTAACCATTAAATATTCAGATTCATTCATCAGCTGACCAATCAACAAGCTGACTAACAGTTTTAACGATACAAGGATCTTTAACAGCCTTAATAAAACCACTCAGGCCTCTGATGGTGGATTAGTCTCAATCTACTAAGAACTCTTGAGTTATTTTGGTCTTAAAACAACTAATGAGCTTTTAATCGTCTGTTCTGGCTCTAAATCTTAATGACGGGTCTCAAAGAAAAATATCCAGATTTTAAAATTGAACCCGAGCCTGAAGCTTTCTGCCTGACCGAGCCGAAATCTCTCAATTCATGTTTACTTCATAATCCTGGTGACTCAACATCAATACCCACTGATCCTCTAGTCAACTCAGTAATGGTGTCTAAGGACAGCTGTACATCATGACATCATCAAACACCGACAGGATTTCGTCAAAGACCGGAGCGTTCACCGACGGTGAAAAGGTTGAGGAGAGGCCGCGGAAAAGGACAAAGAGAGAATGATGCAGTGAGGAAGCAGCAGCTGGAGATAAGAGGCGACGACACTTTGCATATCAGTTCTGACAGGAAGTGGAACAGACGAGTTGTCGAGTCTTTAATCTGGAATTTAAATTAAAACAGTTTTGGTGGAAGAAAAACTAAAAAAAGTAGAAAAACTTCACAGCTGAATTCAGTTTTCTGCAACAGTTTCATTCTCCCCTGTGAACTGTGAGTTTCCTGCCAAGAGTTTGTTGAACGCAGCTTTAATAAGAACCCAAAGGTCAAAGTCTGAGGGTTTTTTTTCTTCCTGATTTATTGAACTGTTGGGACTCAACGTCGACACGAGAAACGATCTGAAGCTTCAGACAAAAACAGGAAGAAGAGACTGAAGCTCAGAGCAGCGACGTTCATCACAACTTCCAACAAAAACCCACTATTCTGACAGAGCCTGAGTCCACTCTACTGATTATTGATTACCCAGCTACAGATTATTTTCATTACTGACTGAGTGACTGATTGATTACAGATTGATTACAGAATAAACCGGCACAGATTGCTTTCCACTGCCCGTATCGAACAAGAGTGAACGCAATGAATTAAGTGTAAAAACGCACGACGTGGGCTTCATCAGGAAGATTATTATCACTAGACCCCACAAATACTTTATAGATAGTTAAGATTGTATTTCTATAGACAAGGACTAATATACAACGCTATGACTTTCTTGTTTCTAATTATTTTATGTTTAAGTTTTCTGAAATGAAAATGGATACTGGAGCTTTTTCACCCACTTATTTATTTTTTATTGATCTTGTTTTGTGACTGAAAAGTTTCCTCTTCAGTTATTAAAGAAATGAATTCATTAAATAAAGCTGTTGTGCATGTCTTCTGTATGATTTTAGGTTTTGAGGTGGTGTTGTGTTGCACACGTGTCTCTTTGGGACCCCAGGAAGAGCAGCCACTGCTACAACACAGTGGCTAACGGGGAAGTAAATTAATAAATAAGTAAATAAATAAAAAGTTAATCTGCCAATATTTTCTCAATTAATCAATTTGTCTGTAAAATGCCTGATATCATTTCCTGCAGCTGAAGGTGACGTCATCACGTCACCGTCGAGTGACAAAGAAAAACATCAAATCTTCACATTTCAGAAGCTGGAAACAGAAAATGTTTTGACATTTATGCTCAAAACGATTGATCCATCTGCTGATTTCTAACGCTTTCGGTATCAGATCAGGATCGCTATCAGCTGAGACACGAGCGGAGGAAACATCCAGACCGTGGCGACAGTATCAGCGGCTGAGAGGACAAATATGTACAGACACAAGACATCCACTCTCCGATGCAAAGAGTCTCATGACGAAGCCTGACAGTTTAATAACGCAGAGCTCGTGCTGGGAGGGTTCAGGTCGTTCGCTCATGAACGGAAATCAGTCGTTTTTCTGATCTTCAAATAATAAAAGAGAAAAGATCACAGGGTCACATTTCATTTAACGCTCAGCTCGCAGGTCAGTGCTGGAAAATCTCTGCTCCTCGTCTCTTTGATCTCCACCACAGAATCTCACTTTAACCAGCAACAAAATAATACGTTCATCTCCAGCTTTGATGCCGTCGTGTTAAACTGAAGGTCACATGTGAGCGAATGTAAACTGTGTCTGAGGCCTGCAGCTAAAGGGCTGAGGAGCGTTCAAGAACATGTGACTGTTCATAATGGAGGAGTCAAATCCAGATGAGACCGTGAATGAGACTCTTCATTCATTCATTTGAAACATCTGGATCCTCCTGCTCCGACACATTTGAATGAAGCTGAATTTTCCAGGAGGGAAAGTCGAAGCGAACGCATCGTGTGGATGAATTCACAGACCGGCAGAGTGTGAGATGTTTTGATTCCAGAGCTGATAATATGTCAGAGTTGTTTTCTACTTTATCTAATTTAATAAAAGTCAAAGATCTCCAATGCAGCTCGAGTGCTGATGGACTTTTGAGGCTGAAATCAATAATTAGTTTGACAAAAAAAAAAGAGATGATACATCAGCCAGTATTCATTCTTGTGATATAAACAAACATTTCCTCTCATTATGGTTATTAAACAATTAAAATGTGACATGCACAAAACAAAACATGTGACTGTTTAAAAATAATGAGAATTCATTGTTTTTTTCAAACAAAATTGTGAGGATTTGCTGCTTCTCTTTATTTTATATGAACCAGGTTTGAGTGATAACCACAACTGAATATCTTGATACAGTCCAGCACAAATATCACTATATATGATATTATGATGTTTATTTATGATAATGTATTTGTTTTTTTATAAATATAACATAACAATAATAATAATACATAATTACATTATTGTATTTTATGTTTCAGGTGTTTTTTTATACACGTTGTGTAAAACTGCAAAAAACAATTTGATATTGTGAAAAATATTATGACATTCAATATAATCTAATATCAGCCTAAACCCGTTCTAAAGTGTAGAACAACAATAATTTCTCTGCATGTGAACAAGCAACTAGATTTAAACGAGTCCACTATTTTATTTATTTATTATTATTTATTCTATTGGAGTATTTGTTGAATTGAGACACTGCTGCGCTGAGGACAGTCCTAAACTTCAAGCTGAGGCACGTTTCCAAACTGAGGCCGGGGGAGAAATCTCGTATCCACTGATTTACAGTCACCACAGTGCACGTAAACACGTTCTCCAATAACCAGCTGCTTCAGTAATCTGGTTACTCGAGTGCACGTAAACACACTTCACTACATCGTGTCAGGATTTTTCCATGTGGAGAAACTTTATCCTGAAACTGATCAGATCATAAACAGCAGCAGATTTCTGCATCAGGCTGCAGCTTCAACACCAGAAGCTTCCGAATACGCAACAGCCGAGTTCATGACGCAACCCACAAACTCCAGCGTAACGCCGGCTTACACAACTGCAGCCTGCGAGGCTTTCTGTCACTCTCACCCTGAGCTCATCACTCGTCTGCAGACAGAGACCGGGCCGGTTTGATTCAGAGGCAGCGGCTGGAAGTGATTACTGATGCTCCATCACTGGCTGCTCTGATGGAAACGCTGCATCACTCTTCCTGCTTTTTTCCCCCCCTTCCCGTTTTCTCTTCTGCTGAGACCCACAGTCAGCGAGAGGCTTCTGTAACCTGATAAACAACTGAAACAGAGTCATGAAGGCGGAGCAGCGGCTGGGATATGCAAACACACTCAGACAGTGGAGGCATTTTATCAGCTCTGAGGCCGTGAGCAGAGATATGGACCAATATGAAAACTCTGTTTACATTTGGAAAGTTTTTCCATCCACACTCAGGGTTTCTGGACTGTTCTTTTAACGTCTTTGTTCTCAGTGAAACCACGAAAAACTAGAACCACCGCCTCCTCCACTCAGACTCGTTTCAGATTACAGCCCTGTTTATCCAGAGTCAAATAAAATATGAACCATTTGTGCTAAAAAAGTGTTTTGTGAGGTCACACTGACCTTGACCTTTGACCTCTGACCACCAAAATATAATGAGTTCTTAGCCCAAGTGAACGTTTGTGCCAAATTTGAAGAAGTTCCTTCAAGGCGTTTCAGATATACTGCGTTCACAAGGCCAAAGCCGCAATTTGTGAGGTCACTGTGACCGTCACCTTTGACCTTTGACCACCAAATTCTAATCCGTTCAGGCTCGAGTCCGAGTTGATGTTTGTGCCAAATTTGAAGACGTTCCTTCAAGGCGTTACTGAGATATCGTGTCCATGGCTCATGGCTGTCGTCAGCGCAGAGGCGTGAAAACTGGTTCAACCAAACTTATGAAACCATGTTCTCTAAACCTGTTCCATCACGTTTGACACTAACAATCATTTTCATTCATCCACTCATCTGCCGATCAGCCGTCTTGATTACTCAACTAAACGTTTGATCTATGAAATGTGACTAAATAGTGAAAAATGCCCGTTAGAGTGACGACATGTGACGTCTACAAATGTCTAGTTCTGTTGGTCCAACAGTTCAAAACCCAAAGATCCAGATTCATCTTCACACCAGCTGATGTTTAACTGATGCTTAAAAATGTTAATTAATCTGTTAATTACGTTTTTTTTTTTTTTTGCAATCAACTGTTCATTTTGTATTTGTATTTATTTTGTAAATTTTGTTTTAGTCCAACGTTTTACGACGATATAAACCAAAGAAAAGCAGCAAATCTTCACATTTCAGAAGCTAAAATATTTAAAATATTTCATTTGTTTTGTTTAATGAAGCCAAGAGAGAAAAAGAAAAAGAAAAAGGAGCGAGTCAGAAATAGAGGAGTTCACGTGTGTGGGTGAGAAAGAGAGAAATAAAACTGAAACTTAACTTTTATTTTGTTAACTTATTCCAGCTCATTGAAACTCTTAAAGGAACAAACACACTGAACACACAGGACATGAGGTGTGTGTGTGTTGCAGTGAGCTTTAACCAGGGTGTGTGAATGTGGAGCCTTTATCAGTGGCTACACAGGGATTATTATTATCCAGCTAATTTTATTATTATCATTATTATTACTGGTTATGCAACTGTGACTTCCATAAATAAAACCTTCATTTGAACACCTGTCCGTTCACCTGGAAGAAAAACTTCTTGTTGCACTCTTTTTTTTTTCTTTCTAATTTTTCACATTTTTGCTGCTTTGAATCAGAAGTGCTGCGATGTCGATCTTATACCCTCATCGATTAGTCAATCAACAGGAAAATAATCAGCAACTTTCACTGAAAAATAATCAAAAAATAAAAACTTTCATCCTGTCAAACACGAAGCTGCTTTTACACTAAACTTGAGTATCTTTGTGTTTTCATATAAAGATGTCACCAACTGATTAACAAAGAAAATAATCTGCAGATTAATCAATAATGAAAATGATATTTGGTTGCAGTGGAAAATGTTGTACAGATTGTGATTTAGGGCTGTGTCTTGTAAGGTGCCTATAAATAAAATGTATTATCGTGATTATTATTATTATATGTTGGATAACAACACAGCTGTCTTCGTCGTCCTTCTATTCAATTTTTCGCCTGAGTTATTAATTAGTTCAGACTCGTAGCTGCTGTCGGTTTCACCACAAACCTCACAGATCACACTGGTTAGTGGACATCACATCTGACACCTTCATAATTCTAATAAAAGGAAACTGAATTTCTGCAGATAATCAAGTACAAACCTAGACTGAAACTATACAAATCAAATATCTTCGTTTTCAAATACTCCTGATTATTCTGAGAAAACAAACTTGAAATATGTCTATATTTGAAATGATAGGTGATAAGATGTTGTAAATTATAACCTGATAAATTAGTTATCCGTATAGTTACCCTAGGAAATTAAAACAATTTGGACTGAAAAATGTATTTAATCCTAATTAGTATTTCAAAAACATCGTATTAGTCAGACCAGCTCCATTTTATCCATAACTGCAGCAGGAATCATCAGCACAGACAGCTGCTGACACAATGACACTCAGTGAGTTTCAGCATCACATTATTGATGCAGCAGACATTGATTATCTACAGTCTGTGCGACAGTTTCCCCTCTGATAGCTGCGTGTAATTCAGTTTGACATTTAGTTGCTTCCAGCAGTTAAAGGGAAAGTTAAATACTAAAGACCAGATCTGGACCAGGTCTGACTTACAGAGCCCCACGTTCACACTCCAGTCCAAACCTGGACTGGATTAAGAGACCCGGGCTCATTAAGAGACTCATTCACATTTATAAAACTGGAATTAGATTAAAAAATAACACAAAAAACATGTAATATACCTACATTTTTTGAATCTGGACAAGAGGACACCGGGAGAACCTAACACCTGTTTAAAACAGTCTTGGATTTGGGAAATTCTTTATCCCATCCAGACCAGATCTAGACCAAAACCACTGAACCGACAGGTCTATGTTACATTAATGCAGCAGTAATAATAATCTAATGCTAGGTCAATTCTAGTGCTGCAGCGATTAATCGATTGACAGGGAAATAATCTGCAACTGAATGTGAAATGTGATTGGTATTGATAGTTCCAGCTTCTTAAATATGATAATTTCTTGATTTTTCTTGTTTTAACATGATAATAAACTGAGTTTCTTTGGGTTTTGATGGTTGGTTGGACAAAAGATTTTTTATATGAAGATATCACCTTGGCTTGTGGAAAGTTATTTTATACTGTTTATTGACGTTTTACACACCAATTAATCGATAAATCGATCAAATAGATTAATCAACAATGGAAATACTTGCTAGTTTGCAGTATTTAGACAGTGTGGTATTAGTAATTTTATGTATTTGAGTACTTCCTCCACCACTGCAGGTACACAGACATCTTGGCACATCAGTGGACGCTTGACTTTCACCTCAGTCACCCCTGCTAATCCCCGCTAGACGGGCGGCTCCGGTTTCAGCCACAGCCCCCGCTCTCACGGTACGGCTCGGGCTACGCAACACGCGTCCACACACAAGTGACAGCAACACAAACACCCCCCACTTCAACAAAACAACCCACCTCCCTCTCCCCCGTCCGCTTTGACTTCCAATAAAACAAACACCTCCGTTTGACTGTCACGGCTCGGAGGTTAGCTGACAGGCTAACCCGGGTCAGCGGCTCCCTCGGCGGTCTGCCTTACCTGTAGAGTTGTGATGTGTTTGTCGTTGAATTTGTTTTCGCAGTATCGGAGCACCAGCGACGTCTTCCCCACGCAGCCTTCCCCCAGCAGCACCACCTTGAAGGAGTAGGTCTTGCCGCTGTTGCCGCCCGCCCCTCCGGCCGCCATGGCTGGAAGTTATATTAAACTAATTTATCAGCGTTTATCAAAACAAGCGATGTCAAGCTAGCCCTGCTAATGCTAACCCCCGTCGGAACTGAAGTCCTGCGTAGCTCACATCGGCTTCCGACTTTAAAAAACAGCTAAAAATCAGGAGAAAAACACCTCGACAGCATCAGAGAATCCGACGTTTATGAATATCGACCAACAGATGTGAGACAAATGGGTCTAAACTGTGGAATAAATCCCCTTTCGATCTGATGCGAACGCCTGGTTTTCACCCAACTAATGGCGTCTCTACGCGTTAGCTGTTAGCCGGCTAGCTCCGCCGAAGATCGCCTACGCTCGGTAAGATGGAGCACTCGGTTATTTGAGTTGGGTAAGGCTGCAGCATGAAGCCTCTCCCCTCATCCCCTGTCGTCTCATGCCTGGGCGTGTACAACAGTAACTTCACAGGGTCAAAAATACGAATTCGCGCGAATTAGAATTATTTGCAATATGGAGTCAAGTTTCAAGTTCTGTATTGTCGAATGCACAACAATAACAGTGAAGTAGTTATTGGCATAATTCTCAGCCCCCTCCAACAATGGTCAAACAATATTTAGGGCTCTAAAAAAGAAAGTCACGTGAGTAAAAAATGACAATCTAAGACATAAGATACAAAATAACGTAGAAGTTAAAAAAAGGGATGGGATATAATCCGTGTGAAATAAAATATAATACAAAAAATTAGTTTAATATAACTTCCATATATGAGGCTGCACTAAACTCCAATAAAGCAAACTGTCTTATTTGTCCATTTTGTCCATTGTAGTAATAATATCTGATATTGATTTTTGAGTCACTAGGTAACATGACATGGAAGCTCTTGAAAAGAAATTCAGAATTTTCCATCAAAATATTCATATAAAATAGAAGAATCAATAAAATACAATAAAAAGAGGTGTTTCTTATTTGTCCAGTGTAGTAGTAATATATGATATAGATTTTGAGTCCGTAGGTCACGTGACATGGAAACTATTTAAAGAATGCAATTATCTTCTAAGGATAAGGATAACAGAGGTACAACATACTGTAACAACAGTGGATAAGAATACCTTAAGCAAGATTCGATACTACGTTTAAAACAATTTTTCTACCAGGATTGCTGGAATACAATACAAATTACAATATAATAATGAATACATAATGGATTTTTAGTCTGTATTTATCTTGTAGACAGACACAAGGCGAGAGGGCATGAGACGAGAGGCTCCAGGCTGCATCAATACACTACTGGGTTATTTGAAGAGCAGACATCTCACTCCCTCTTCAGTTCCTGCTTGTGTTTCAATATTTGAGTGAAATTACAAACATGTTACTGCCAAAATACTCAATTACAAGTAAGAATAAAGAGCAAAAAAATACACAAACTAGGTTAAACAGTTACATATAAATAAAAAGATGCACGCTAACTGTATGAGTTATGTAAAAGGCAAGAAAATGATTCAATATTTCACAAAAAAAAGATTTGAGAGTCCAAAAACTCAACAAATTTATGAATCAAAAACTGTCTTTTCTTCTTTCCTCTCCCATGAATCATCTGACGACCCGTCAGATTCATCTGGTGTTCCTTTGAAGGAACCCACTCTAGGTTGGCTACCACTGGACTAAACTATTAAACATTTAGTTGCAGTAGACTAGTTTTACACATAGACTACATAAAAATGGACATTGACTCTGGGTCTGGAGAATGAAGCCAATGAGGAAGGGCCTTAAACTTGCATTCTATCGAATGACCATTAAGGCGACTCCACTGGTTGCAAAAAGAAGTCCAATTATATTGAAGTCTATGGGAAAATGACCCTCCTTGTTACCCTCCTTGTTACCTCAGTAAACGTTTTCGTTATGTGTTTCTGGTCTGAATCGCTAGTTTGAAGTTTCCTTCAATACAACATGATGTTCGTTTTTCAAATTATGGTCCTATTAAAAGAAAATAGACGTTAAAACAGAGTGGCTTTAGGGCGTGGCTACTGCGTGATAGACACACAGAGGGACCTGCCTGTTAATCCGGATATGACGTCAGAGCAATGTGTCGGACATTTGACTTGTTATTGTGTTTTCAGTTGATCAAAGTTAGCTCCAACATGTTGTTTGCCTGTAAATGTCTTGTTCTGTGTTCAGTTGTTCTCAAAGACACTCAGAGGAGTCGGCGGTTCACTTTTTTCCGGTAAGTACATTTTGTTTTAAGCCTGTTTCTTTGCTAGCCAAAATTAGCATCCCTGTTAATATCACAGTTCAGGTGAAGATGCACCTTGCTGACCAAGCTAGTGCTAGCGTTAGCTGATAACTTAGCGATTGCTATGCTAACGGTACCTGGCCCCGCTGGGCGGGTAACCTGTGTCAACCTGGGTTAGCCCGTGGAGGTGTTCAGTCAAAGCCCAATAGAAAGGTGAATTTAATCAACGTTAATCTCACGACGTTTGGTTTGTGTTTCTCCACGTGACCCAGTTTAAGTGATCTGCGTTAGTGTAATGCGCAGCGTTAATGTTAGTTAATACATTGTCCATCAAGACGTTGTGATAGTTCAAGTTAAGATAACGTGACGTATACAAAATGTCTCGTCTCGTCTCATCGTCTCCCGCTTATCCGGATCCGGGTCGCGGGGGCAGCAGCCTCAGCAGAGAGGTCCAGACAGCCCTCTCCCCAGCCACTTCCACCAGTTCCTCCGGGAGAATCCCGAGGCGTTCCAAGGCCAGCCGAGAGATATAATCCCTCCAGCGTGTCCTTGGTCGACCTCGAGGTCTCCTCCCGGTGGGACATGCCCGAAACACCTCCCCAGGGAGGCGTCCAGGAGGCATCCTTACTAGATGCCCGAACCACCTCAACTGGCTCCTCTCGACATGGAGGAGCAGCGGCTCTACTCCGAGTCCCTCCCGGATGACCGAGCTCCTCACCCTATCTCTAAGGCTGAGCCCGGCCACCCTGCGGAGGAAACTCATTTCGGCCGCTTGTACTCGCGATCTCGTTCTTTCGGTCATTACCCAAAGCTCATGACCATAGGTGAGGATCGGAAAGTAGATCGACAGGAAAATTGAGAGTTTCGCCTTCTGGCTTAGCTCCCTCTTCCCCACAACGGGCCGACTCAGCGCCCGCATCACTGCTGACGCCGCCCCAATCCGCCTGTTGATCTCCCGCTCCATCCTACCCTCACTCGTGAACAAGATCCCGAGATACTTAAACAAACGTGTGTACGTCACAAATTGAATGTAAGTATAAGGGAAAATATGATTGTATTTTATATTCCAAGCATAGATTTATATTCTGTAAAAGCAAATCAAAATATTTTGTATGCATCAAATGTGTCAATATCAGTGAAGTTAAGCTCAATGTCTTTGTTTTAACTCAGTGACAAAACTGTAAGTCGGTTTGCAATGTGGGCAAAGAACATGTAGCTTTACTTTTAAATGTCAGCTTTGGTGGTTGTGCTGTAAAGGTGCAATATAAGATGTGGCCACAACTTTAGTTTAAAATGTTCAGAAAATGAATTAACACTCACAACAGTGTGTGAAACAGCCACAGTGATGATGTCATGATCAAGATTTCCATCTGTTGTATTTCAGTTATCTACTGAAATGCGCACCAGCCAGCCCCGACCTGTCCTGTGTGTGATACCACTTTGTGACACTAGACGCTGTGTGAGTCAGTGGAGCGTCAAGTCTGCCCTCAGTCCCACGAAGAAGAACAACTTCCAGCAGCGCCTGAAGTTAGCATCACAGAAACACAGGAATGGATGAACCTCCTAAAAGACGATATTCATCTGCATCCCGAAGGACCGCTCCCGACAAGAAACCACGTTCAACGGCAAAGAAAAGAAGCAACACGAGTAAATCTGGATGTGGCTTTCCGCCGCTGGAGACGGCTCCTGAGAGGAAAGAGATGCGGTTTGATGCCGAGCTCGCAACTTTCCTGTTTGCCTGGTGAGTAGCATCAATGCTAGCTCTTTAGCTAAAAGTATAATCAGTGCAACGACCGACAAACGTTTGAGGTGGTGATATTGACGTTGTCGACAGACGTTTTAGCGGTTTACTAGGCTTGTGTCTGTTGCTCTCGGCTGTTGTACAGCCAGTGACGTCAGTAACTTTAGGCTCATCTTGTAACTGACTGTAACTTGAGATTGTATGGAGCCAGTAGACCGAGTGAATACACGTCAATCGGTTCACCATGTTGTAACCACTTTACATTCCTGTTAGGAGATCAGCCATGACTGAAAGTGCATTTCTCAGGAGATTTCATCATCCCTCTGTTTTTATCAGGACCTGAGCCAGTACAGATGCAACACCGCCTCTACCTGTCTCTCCAACGGCAGAGTCCAGACAGTGAGGAGGGTCTAGGTGAGTAACATGCTATCATTCACTTTGACTTGTCTTTACCACTGTGATTAAATCAGACCCACAGTGTAAACATGTTCATACTGATGAATCTTAATAATGAATATACCACTGCCTATATTGGTTGTGTTTTACAGTATATCCATATTTGTGTTTCTGAATTTATTTGTTATATATTGTGTGTGTGTGTGTGTGTGTGTGTGTGTGTGTGTGTGTGTGTACATGTACATGTACATTGACTTCTTATCTCTAGTTGTTTACCCTTCATTTCCTTGCATTTACATTTCATAATATTCATACTGTATTTTTGCATATTCATATCTCTGCTCACAATTTATTATACTCACACAACAGACCTAACATGTTTGAATATAATTGTCCTATCACATGTTTGTCTGTATCAGCACCAGAAGTCCAGTCTAATCTTCACCAATGATGGACCAGCACCTGCCTTTTCTTCTACATCTGGCCTCATCAGTCATATTACATCAACACCTTGAGGTATTATCCCTGCATGTGACAGATATTGTCTATACTGTGATCTTTTGCACATCCCCTAATCAATACTTTTTGCACATCTTGCCCAGCAGAGTATTCAGATCCTATTCTCACACCTGAATTTTAAATTCTACTTGTAACCTCAGTGTCACTCACTTGCAGGAATTTTGCACGCCTACTTTTTTACAGTTTTGTGCTTTGAATGTGACACAGACGTTGACAGAAGCTCTTCCTCTTCCAGTGTCTTTGTGTTGCCTCACCACTAATGTGTGTGTGTGTGTATGTGTATGTATATATATATATATATATGAATCTCTTCTACAAAGTCTTCACATGTACATTTGTTCAGATTTATTCATAAAGTCTTGTTGTTATTACAGTATATGTTAAATGAGGTTTAAGTGGGTGATTGATAAATCTCTTATGTTCTGAAGTCTTAGGCTGCCTCAAACATTTCATAGTCAAAAGAGGAGCCGCTT